TTGGTTCGCTAGAAGATTTCATCACCGAAGGTAGTACATTATCTCAACCAGAGGAAGAAGAATTTGAAAGTCCACCAATTGCTGCACAAATTTCAGTCGCAGTTGTAAGTGCAAGATAAATGGATTGAACTATTGATTTATCTTGACACTTGAAACGCTGCATAGTAAAATAATCGTTAAAAATGTCAGCAACACTTTTGGGATTTGTAACATGAGATTTTGCCTTTACTTTTTATATTCCTACCTAGTTCTTTGTTGATAATTCACCATATGTGACGAGATTCCACCTTTTGAAAACATCTATCATAATGTCACTGCCTGGAATGACAATGTAGGAAGATGCTGAATATGTATAGTTCAGTTTTTGATTATAATAAGCATTTGGATAAGAAGCAAATAGCTAAGAGGACTTGTTTGGCTGTTCATGGAAAGCCAGATAAAAAGCACTGTGTTTAGAGTCAAGAGACAATACAAAAAAAAATTGTCTGAGCCACTGGCAATAGCTTCCAAATTAGTGAATATTCATGGAAAGATAAAGGTAATGATGATACTCACGCTAATGTTGAGAGAAAACACAGTATTAGGTGTGGTTTTTTCAGGTAGTGCAAAACTTTCATTGACAGAAGATACAGTTTTACCCGTGGTTTCCAGTAATAATATATTGGATAGTATAATATAATAGATATATTGGTTGCTTAGAATCAGGATATTTGAGTGGATGAAAGTTTTGGATGTACTTAAAAGTCTCAAAGCGTGGAATTAATATCATAAAAAATATAAACTTAGTGTACCCAGTGATTTATTTGGTTGTGATAGAAACGTTTTGGACATGTAGATTAAAATATTTTGAGAATCAGTCAGTTTTTGAATATTTAATTAGCATTTTGTCAGTTCAATGGGTAGCCATGATGCATGAAGAACTGGGGAAGTATAAAAAGTAGCTCCCCTGGGATGAAATTTTGAAATAATTGCACCATTGTTAGTAATATATATATATATATATATACAACTAAGAGAGGGTCCTCAAGGACAGACAATGGAGAAGTTGTTATTTCTAACAGTCAAAAGAATGCATTAGTTTTTACCTGAATTGAATCATTGTACGTGCGTGTTATCCAGATTTTCGAGAATCCACTGCAATTTGCTATGGCAACAGCAATAGTGGCAGCACAGCTAGTTGAGTATTGGTCAATTGTGGACCCACTGCGAGCCTGTGGATTAAGGCATTCACGTCCTGCAAGTGTATGTTGCATAATGCACATGTCAATTCCATAGACGTGTCGCTTGACCAAGAGTCTAATGGATTATTCAGTCTATAACGGTTATTTTTAGGAGTGAGTAATGGTTGTAATCCTCAGGTTACGAGCTTCTTGTTATAGATCGCTTTGTCGCCACTTTTTATGATCGTGCTATTCTCGCATTTTGCTTTTTTTTATGTCCATTAATTTTATTTACGTTGTACTTGTTTCTATTAGAAATTGACTCATACTAATTTAAACATAACAAATTACTTTTTTTTACTATAATCAATAATAAGTAGATTTAAAATATGTTTTATTTCTTACTGGCAGCATATTCTCTGTTTATTCGGTCTCTCTCACATCTCTCGGTTTTCTCTTTCTTTTATTGAACTCCTGGTTTTTATATTCCTTCCTCAAACCTAGGTCGAACAGGTCCATTTCTTACTGACTTTGTACACTGGTTTCCATTATGTCAGATTATAATGCTTCATAATCAGAGAGGGTCTTGCAATTTCCACACTGCCTGAACAAGAAAGACAGCTGCTCTCTACAATAATTTTCTAATGACTTGGTGTACTGTAATCTCCCAATTCCTTATATACTAACCAAAAAATCAGCTGCTTTCTCACCTCTCTCAACTCCAACGAATATCTCTTACACCCACCTTCACAACAACTTCAATGTCGGTGATATTCCTGTCTAATCTCGATGTTATCTCAGGTGTAACCAAAATTCTGGTGTATCATTACATTCTTTTTTAAGTTGTTTCACCACTCACTGTCTTTTATGGAATACTGATAATTTCATTATCTTTACATATATCACGTTACAGTTCATAGCCTTGTCTAGAAATGTTTTATACTTGACAGTTTTATATATACATATATATATATCACTGCAACCAGAGCCACCGGGAGCTGCCACAGGCCCTGGAGAAGGATTATTATATGTGGCCCCCTCCCCCAGACCCAGATATGTACAAATTGACTGTCAACAAGTTGAAATTTGTGATTCCTTAATAAGCTAACGTATCCAGTCATGGATTCAAAACATACACTATGAAAATCATCTTGATAGATTTACCATGGCATACGTATCCTACTAACTACAGTGTTTTTCATACCGTATATTGGGGATTTGTAAAAGCAGTATTAATGTTAATTTGTTAGTCGTTAGTTTGCCTTAATTAAATACAGCAATTTAGAAGTAATTGTGAAGCTTTAGGCTTATTTTATAACACAGGGTATATTTTGTCAGTATTTTATTATGTATGTTTTTTTATTTGTTCTATACATAATAATTAAATTGAACATATTTGCAAGTCACTATTGATAACATTTCAGCAAACTACCCAGATGAAAATGAGCTAAAAATGTTAAGGAATCAGTATATAATTCTATCACCATACAATTGACATATTGCTGCCTAAAAGGAAATCGCAAAATACACTGATTAAATAATTTTATTAGATAAATGAAAAATGATCATACAATGAATTTCATGTTTATTTAATACTGTGAATACATATATATAAAGACCCCCCCCTCCAAGTCGCACAGCAGTATGTCTGCGGACTTACAACGCTAGAAACCGCGTTTCGATACCCGTGGTGGGCAGTGCATGGATAGTTCATTTTATAAATTTGCTTAATTACGAAAAAACATACAGAATATATAAAAGCAATACTTAATTTCACTTAAACATTACAGTTATTTAATAGCAAAATAAGATAGAACTGATTGAATACGAATCAGGTTCATAGTTTTCTTCTATTTTAATACATAAGTGGGATTATCACCATTAGGTGAGACAATTATTTACTTTTTTGATTGTCACTATTAGAAATACAGTTTCCTTCACTTCTATCTGGCAGTGTGATCAATGGTTCTGCTGAAATCCAAAGTGGTTTTCAATTGCAAGGGTTCCC